TTTTCCACTTCTGTGAAGAAGGTCAGTGGTAGCTTGATGGGAATGGTGTTGAATCTATAAATTACTTTGGGAAGTATGGCCATTTTCACGATACTGATTCTTCCTAACCGTGAGCATGGAATGTTTTTTCATCTGTTTGTGTCTTCTCTTATTTCCTTGATCAGTGGTTTATAGTTCTCCTTGAAGAGGTCCTTATATCCTTTGTTAGTTGTATTCCTGGGTATATTATTCTCTTTGTAGCAATTGTGAATGGGAGTTCATTCATGATTTGATTCTCTGTTTGCCTATTACTGGTTTATAGGAATGCTTGTAATTCTTGCACATTGATTTTGTATCTTGAGACTTTGCTGAAGTTGCCTATCAGCTTGAGGAGATTTTGGGCTGAGATGGTGGGATCTTCTAATATAATCATGTCCTCTGTAAATAGAGACAAGTTGTCTTCCTCTTTTCCTAACTGAATACCATTTATTTCTTTTTGTTGCCTGATTGCCCTGGTCAGAACTTCCAATACTATATTGACTTGGAGTGGTGAGAGAGGGCATCCTTGTCTTGTGCCAGTTTTCAAAGGGAATCCTTTCAGTTTTTGTCCCTTCAGTATGATATTGGCTGTGGGTTTGTCATACATAGCTTTTATTATTTTGAGATATGTTCCATTGATACCTAATTTATTGAGAGATTTTAGCATAAAGGGCTGTTGAATTTTGTCAAAGGCCTTCTCTGCTTCTATAGAGATAATCATGTGGTTTTTGTCTTTGGTTTTGTTTATGTGATGGGTGACATTTATATATTTGTGTATGTTGAACCGGCCTTGCATCCCTGGGATGAAGCCAACTTGATCATGATGAATAAACTTTTTGATGTGCTGTTGGATTCAGTTTGCCAGTATTTTATTGAGGATTTTCACATCAATGTTCATCATATATTTTGGCCTGAAGTTTTCTTTTTTAGTTGTGTCTCTGCCAGGTTTTGATATCAGGATGATGTTGGTCTCATAAAATGAGTTAGGGAGGAGTCCCTCTTTTTGTATTGTTTGGGATAGTTTCAGAAGGAATGGTACCAGCTCTGAACCCATCTGGTTCTGGACTTTTTTTAGTTGGTAGGCTATTAATTTTTGCCTCAATTTCAGACCTTGTTATTAATCTATTCAGCAATACAACTTCTTCCTGGTTTAGTCTTGGAGGGTTTAAGTGTCCAGGAATTTATCCATTGCTTCTAGATTTACTGGTTTATTTTCATAGAGGTGTTTGTAGTGTTTTCTGGTAGTTTGTATTTCTGTGGGATTAGTGGTGATATCTCCTTTATCATTTTTTATTGCATCTATTTGATTCTTCTCTCTTTTCTTCTTTATTACTCTGGCAAGTAGTCTATCTATTTTGTTGATCTTTTCGTAGAACTAGCTTCTGGATTCATTGATTTTTTTTGAAGGGTTTTTGTGTCTCTATGTCCTTCAGTTCTGCTCTGATCTTAGTTATTTCTTGTCTTCTGCTAGCTTTTTAATTTGTTTGATCTTGCTCCTCTAGTTCTTTTAATCATGGCGTTAGGGTGTCAATTTTAGATATTTCCTCATTTCTCTTGTCATTTAGTGCTATAAATTTCCCTCTAGACACTGATTTAAATATGTCCCAGAGATTCTGGTATGTTGTGTCTTCATTCTCATTGGTTTCGAAGAATATCTTTATTTCTGCCTTCATTTCATTATTTATCTGTAGTCATTCAGGAGCAGGTTGTTCAGTTTCCATGCAGTTGTGTGGTTTTGAGTGGGTTTCTTAACGCTGAGTTTTAACTTGATTGCACTGTGGTCTGAGAGACTGTTATTTCTGCATTTTTTGAAATTCCTTCTATTTTTGATTGTTAGTGGCTGGAGAAAGTACTTGAAATGGATTTCAGGCTTCTTAAGTTTATTAAGATTGATCTTGTGGCCTAACATATGAACCCTCCTAGAGAATGTTGTGTAAAAAAAATTTATATAGATTTTATATTGTATTAGGTATTATGAGTATCTACAGAAAATCTGAGGCATAAGGAGTATGTGTGTAGATTATATGCAAATACTATACCATTTTATCCAAGCCACTTAAGCATCCATGGATTTTATTATCCTCAGGGGTTGTAAAACTCATGCCTAGTTGGTGCTTGCCTGTAGCCTGTGTCCACTGGTGTCAGCCTGGACACTGGGCGTATGGTTGCTAGGCCAGAAACTAGGTCTGTGAAGAACTGGATCCTGCCTGGAGTCATCCTAGGACCTGGGTTCACAAGGCTTGGCACAGGGAAGACCTGAGCCCTGTGTTTGCAGGTGCCTGCCAGGTGTTTGAGCCTAGATATGCCATACTGGTGCTGGATAGAGCTGAAGCCCAGGGCCATTGGGGCCTGCCTAGTGCTTGGGTCAGCCTAATGTAGGAGCAGGCCCAGAAACCAAGTCCACCAGGCTGGGCTGGAACCTGGGACTGCAGAATCTGGCCTGGCACTGGGATGGGCTTGGAGACTCAGTTTGCTGATACCAGCCTGGCAATGGGTAAGCCTGGAGCCTGTATCTTTGGGGCCATCCTGGCTGCTTGTGTCCAGGCAGGCCCAGAACCTGGAGCTGTGAGATCTAGCCTGGTGCTAGGGCGGACATGAAGTTTCAGTCCCCAACTTATTTTCTTGATATTAAGTTAGCTTCTGATGGGCAGAAATTTTAGATTTTGATAAAGCCCCTTTTTTATGGTTTGTGTCCTTAGCACCCATTTTAAGAAATCTCTGCCTACCCCAGTGTCAGAAAGATATTCTGTAGTGATAGCAGAGGTTTTAAAAATATCTTATGTTCACCTTATGTCATATTTTTAAAAGTTGCTTGTAGGAGAAGTTAACTCTAGCATTTTGTTATTTTTCTGCAGAGAAGACTCGTTTTTTTTATGCTAGGCAGCTGTCAGTACTTGCAATCTTGGAAGCGCCCTCATCCAGTATTAAGGATTGAGATTATTTGAAGCTGGGATTTGTAGAAGCTAAAAGGATTGAGATTATTTGCAGTCCCTGGCCAGGCCAGTCTCCTTTAGGTTCCTCCTTATAAAGTCAAGTCCTAATCCCTTCCACTCCTTGCCCTGAATTCTAGCTCTCTTTCTTGTAGCCCCAACAATTTAAGTCAAATATTCAAGGTCACATAGTTGTGAAATGCCACACGATAGTGGTGGGATTTGAACCCAGGCAGTCTGACTTCAGATCCTGGGTTATTAAAAGGAATCTTTCATGTCACCCCTACCATGAGGGATGGATTTCATTTGTTTTGCTTCCCATTGCACACCTACCCCTCACATGACATGTAGTAGGTGTTCAGAAAATACTCTAAGTGTAAGAATGAACCTTCTCCTAGTCCATTTGGGATACTATAGCAAAATACCACAGACTGTGGCTTAAAAACAGCAGAAGTTTATTGCTCACAGTTCTGATGGCTATGAAGTCCAAGATCAAGGTGGGAGCACATTCCATGTCTAGTGAGGACCCCTTTCCTGGTTGGCCTGTTTTTTCTTTGTGTCCTCACATGGTGGAAGGAATGAAGGATCTCTGTGGGGCCTCTTTTATAAGGGAACTCAACCCATTCTAATCACCTCTCTAAATCCCCACTTCTTATTTTTATTTACTTATTTATTTTTAATTTTTTGAGATGGAGTTTCACTCTTGTTGCCCATGCTGGAGTGCAGTGGCACAATCTTGGCTCACTTCAACCTCCACCTCCCCAGTTCAAGCGATTCTCCTGCCTCAGCCTCCAGAGTAGCTGGGATTACAGGTGCCCCCCTCTAGGCCTGGCTAAGTTTTTGTATTTTTAGTAGAGACAGGGTTTCACCATGTTGACCAGGCTGGTCTCGAACTCCTGACCTCAGATGATCCACCTGCCTTGGCCTCCCAAAGTGCTGGGATTACAGGCATGAGCCACTGTGCCCAGCCCCTAAATCCCAACTTCTAAATACCTCGACCTTGGGTGTTAGGATTTAACATATGAATTTACGGGAACACAAACATTCAGATCATTGCAAATCTGTTCCCCTTAGCAATACTATTAGTGGTATTTACTTCCAATCTGATTATTGAATAGCATTTTGGGCTTATAGTTGTGCTGTGATTTTATATACTGTTTTTTTTTTTTTTTTTTTTTTTGAGATGGAGTTTCGCTCTTGTTACCCAGGCTGGAGTGCAATGGCGCGATCTCGGCTCACCGCAACCTCCGCCTCCTGGGTTCAGGCAATTCTCCTGCCTCAGCCTCCTGAGTAGCTGGGATTACAGGCACACGCCACCATGCCCAGCTAATTTTTTGTATTTTTAGTAGAGACGGGGTTTCACCATGTTGACCAGGATGGTCTCGATCTCTTGACCTCGTGATCCACCCGCCTCGGCCTCCCACAGTGCTGGGATTACAGGCTTGAGCCACCGCGCCCGGCCGATTTTATATACTGTTTTGTTGCTTTGCTGTTGGTGGTGATTTATTTGTTTTGTTGTTTTTAAATTATTTCCATGGGAATTGGGAAAGCCGCTAGCAAAATTTACCTGGAAACTTGCATCAAAACTTATTGATCTTTGTTTTGTGGTTGGTATTTTATTCATATTAGAAGATCTATAGATGTTAACTAAATTATAAATGTAGGTTGGGAGGCCGAGGTGGGTGGATTACTTGAGGTCAGGAGTTCTAGACTAGCTTGGCCAACATGGTGAAACTCTGTGTCTACTAAAAATACAAAAATTAGCTGGGCATGGTGGCGGGCACCTGTAATTCCAGCTATTCAGGAGGCTGAGGCAGGAGAATCACTTGAACCTGGAAGGCAGAGGTATCGGTGAGCAGAGATTACACCACTGCACTCCAGCCTGGGTGACAGAGTGAGACACCATCTCGGGGAAAAAAAAAATATAGGGATAAACAACTTCTCAAATATTTTAAATCCTTACATTTCTTATTTTAAATCTTTATTAAATATTCCTTATCTTTAAAGCTTGATTATAAAATTAAGTAATTGAAATTTAAGTAATTTGCTTGTCTAAAATTTACACATCATTAGATAATCTTTTATTTTTAAAAAATCTTTACTCCCTCCATAGAGTTGAACTTCCTCTCTTTTTAGAAGAATGGATTTCTCAGAATCCAAAAAATTTATGGTTCTTCTCTGGAAGAATTTTATTTTAAAGGTAAGTTGAACTATCTATAGGTATCTATAAGGTTATTACAACAGCTCAGAGGGCACAGGGGAATATTCTGACACCTTGAGCATTAAATTTCAATTTATACTGTTTTACTTTTCTCAGTACAAGGCTAGGGTTATCTCTTCCAAATATAGAGTTCTTGCGGAGAGAAATAATAGCAGGACGTTATGTAGAAAGGAGAAAAAAGACAGTCCAGGAAGCTGCATCTGTTATGGAGTAAAGCTATGTTTTTGGCAATCTACGTATATTATTTTATGAAGTATATTTTATCTTAATATAAAAGAATTCTAGATATACACAATACACTACTATTCAGTCATGGAAAAGAATGGGTTCCTGTCATTTGCAACCACATAGATGGAACTGGAGGTCGTTATGTTGAGTGAGATAAGCCAGACACAGAAAGACAAACTTTGCATGTTCTTAATCATTTGTAGAAACTAAAAATTAAAACAATTGAACTCATAGAGATGGGGAGTAGAAGGATGGTTAACAGAGGCGGGGAAGGGGTAGCTTGGGGTAGGTAAGGGGGATGTGGAGATGGTTAATGGGTACAAAAAAACAGAAAGAATGGATAAGACATAGTATTTGCTAGCACAACAGAATGACTAGAGTAAAAAAAAAGTGTAATTCTACATTTAAAAATATTTAAAATAGTATAATTGGATTATTTGTAACACAAGGGATAAATACTTGAGGGAATGACACCCAGTTTACCTTGATGGGATTATTATGCATTGTGTGCCTGCATCCAAATGTCTCATGTAACCCATAAATATATATACCTACTATGGACCAACGAGAATTAAAAATTTTTTTAAAATTCAGAAATGAACTTGCAAGGTTAACCTCTTAGGGCAATTAACATAATCTTTTTTCTTCTTCTTCTAGAGGCGGCGATGTATTGCTTTAGTTGTGGAAATGGTCTTCACATTTCTATTTAGTGCTGCACTTTTGGCAACACGCTTTGTTACTGTTATAAGGAAGAATGGACCTTTCAGTTTCTCTCCTCAGCCTGTCAGTGAAGTGCCTTTCCAGATCGCAGATTATTTAATTTCTCCTTCTTTGGAATTGGCTTATGTGCCTTCCAGAAGCACTGTGGTCCAGGGTATTATTGAAAGGGTGAAAATGGATATAAACCCCCAAATGAAAGGTTAGAAATTAAGGTTTTCTGAAAAAAATCATACAGTATTACTAAATTCATTTAGTTAAAACATACTTTCAACCTTATTAACTGGTTCTTAACCTCCCAAGTAAAACATTGTAGGATATTCCCATAGTAAGTATAAATACTGTGGACTTTGTTAAACTTGAAAGTTAAATTTATATAAAATATTTTGTTTGTAGAGCCCAGAACAAATAGTAACATTTCAAAATTAGATGACCAACTCTTATTATTATTCTAAGTTGTTATCCAGTTTTGTGATACTACGTGTTTTTTCTATCTGATCGTGTTTGTTGAACCTGGCTAAGTATACCTCCAGGGGTGTGTGATTATGTGCCACAGGTCAGTGGTCAGGTATTTAAAACAATGTTTTATATTAAAATGTGGTACAAGTAATATAGGAAGGCTTTAGAAAACACTCAAGCTGCATGGAATCATTTTAAGAGCTCTGAATCTCTCACTCACCTTCATATTCCCAGATCACTTTCTTACCTCCTTCTTCAAGAGGTAAATATTGTCAGAAGTTTGGGCTGGGAGTGGTAGCTCATGGCTGTAATCCCAGCACTTTTGAAGGCTGAGGTGGGCAGATCACCTGAGGTCAGGAGTTCAAGACCAGCCTGGCCAACATGGTGAAACCCTGTCTCTACTAAAAACATAAAAATTAGTTGGTTGTGGTGGTGCTCACCTGTAGTCCCAGCTATTTGGGAGGCAGAGGCACAAGAATCACTTGAACCCAGGAGGGGAAGGTTGGGGTGAGGCGAGATTGTGACGCTGCACTCCACCTGGGTGACAGAGTGAAACTCTGTCTCAAAAGAAAAAAAGTTTGTGGGCATCTCCCTAGTATACCTCTCTCTGCACGTGTGCATGCATACACACACACACTCAGTTATGTAATTTTTCCACCTTTTTTTATCTTTCAAGAGATATGAGAGCCCTTGAGAGTAGATGCCATTCAAAGTATTCTTTTTTGTTGATTTTTTATCAAAGCATTTTAAAATAAAGACTGAAACAGAAGAATACAAAGTTCCCAGTAATTTTTAAATGATACAACAAAAATATCCCACCAAATTTAGAGTCTGTTATGGATTACTCCAACAGTCTGTTTGGGTTACTCAAAACATTTCCTGATTTCCACTCTGATTTCTTCTTTGATGCATGGATTTTAGAATTTTTAGAAGTGTGTTGCTGAACTTCTAAATACGGGGAGCTTCTTGTTATCTTTCTGTTGTTGATTTCGGTTTTAATTTCCTTTCATCAGAGAGTATACTCAATTCCAGTTCGTTGACATTTTGAGCATTGTTTATGGCTAGTACATGGTGTATTTTCATAAACCATTTCTGTGCATTTGTAAAATCTATGTGTGCTCTAGGCTTTGCCTATAGTGTTCTATAAGTGCCACCTAGGCACAGTTGGCTAAGTATCATGCTTTTCACATCATCTATATTCTTTCTCTCTCTCTCTTTTTTTTTTTTTGTCTGCTTATTGTATTAGTCATTGAAAGAAGTATTAAATTTTCAATCAGGGATTATTAGGATTAAATAAGCTATATATTGTAAATACTAATTTTTTTTTTTTTCTGAGATGGAATCTTACTCTGTTGCCAGGCTGGAGTGCAGTGGCATGATCTCGGCTCACTGCAACTTTCACCTCCCAGGTTCAAGTGATTCCCCTGCCTCAGCCTCCTGAGTAGCTGGGGCTATAGGCGCCCACCACCACGCCTGGATAATTTTTTGTGTTTTTAGTAGAGATGGGGTTTCACCATGTTGGCCAGGCTGAGTATAAAAATTAGCTGGGTGTGGTCTTCCCGCCTCAGCCTCCCAAAGTGCTGGGATTACAGGCGTGAGCCACCCTGCCTGGCCTGTATATATTAAAATGTATACATTTTAAGATATTAAAATTTCCCACTGGGATTTAGCTATTTTTCTTTTTGCTTATTTATTTTGAATTACAGTTCATGTGATCTTTCCATTGAATCATTTTAAAAATAATATTTTTCAGTTCTGGAATTTCCATTTATCTCTATTTTTATAGGTTCCAGGTCTCTTGCAAAATGTACCATTTTTAAGTTTATTAACCATATCAACCATAGTTATTTGAAAATCTCTACCAGGAAGTTCTGGTATCCAGATGACTTGTTTATCTTTTTTTTTCTTTTATGCCATTAGTTCTGTTTTATAACATGCTTTGTATATTGTTATAAATGCAAGATTTTGCAGATGAAAAATTTTGAAGGCTCTTGGGAATATTTCTTTATCCAAAGAGGGTTAAATTTTCTTTTGAATCATTGTTAGAGTGCTAGTAATTTCCCTTGCCCCCACTGAAGGCTGGTCTTAGCTTCACTAAGGACTGCCCTATTTCTGTTTCCTCTTTACTTCTGGGATGTAACCCTGGTCCTAGTGTGTGACTGATTCTTACTCCTAGCCCATGGCCATTCCATGATTTCAACTGAAAGTCAAGGGTTCAGTTGGGCGCGGTGGCTCACGCCTGTAATCCCAGCACTTCGGGAGGCCAATGGAGGCGGATCACAAGGTCAAGAGATGGAGATCATCCTGGTCAACATGGTGAAACCCCATCTCTCCTAAAAATACAAAAATTAGCTGGGCATTGTGGCAGGCGCCTGTAATCCCAGCTACTTGGAAGGCTGAGGCAGAAGAATTGCTTGAACCTGGGAGGCAGAGGTTGCAGTGAGCCAAGATTGTGCCACTGCACTCCAGCCTGGGCAGCAGAGTGAGACTCCATCTCAGGAAAAAAAAAAAAAAAAAAAAGTCAAGTGTTCAAGAAGCCTCCTTACCTTGTGGGGCTTGAGCTCCATCCTCTGTCTCCCAAGCCTCGTACAGCTGCTGAAATCACTGCTCAGCATTTTAGCCCTCCAGTCACTGTCATCTACCTGCCTGTACTCACTTGGAAGACTAGAAGCTCATACCCAGACTTTCACCCCTCTTCCCAGGTGCACATGGTTAATCAAGGCAGCTGACAGTCAAAGATGAATATCCAGGGAAAACATTTTAGGTATCTGAGAAGACCAGGAACAATGAAAGGAAGAAAGAAAATGGAGCCTCCTATACCAAGAGAAGCAGAACTAGTGTAATTCCTGGAGGGGTGAGGAGAAGAGCTGCTCACGTGTCCTGAGTTTCAGCTGGGTTTCAGCTTTGCCCCATCATCCCAGGCTGAGGCATTTGCTTTCTCATGCATGACCCTGATGGAAAGAACAACTATCCCCAGTCTAGGCTTTCAGAACACGGTTGCATGTTTGTGTGTGTTTAATGCTCTCCTTATTGGGGCTAAGCAAGTTGGGTATATGTTGAAATGAGAAAAGTTGAAAGTAAGATTCTTTTAGGGTTGGGTTGGGTGGATTGTTTGTTTTGGTCAGGTTTCTAGGATGCAAGGTGGGAGAAACAAATGAAGAATTGGAAGAGTTATTGAAGTGATAGGTCCTGGAATCTCCACTGGAAAGGAAACGAAGTTAGGAGAAGAATGATTTCAGATGTCAAGTGATGGGAATGTAAAATTGCTTTTGATCAAAGACCTCTGAGGCTACACATCATATAACCAGTGCACCCCCAGCTACACACATTAATATCTCTCTACAGCAGTTTCTCTAGGACAATGGTCCCTAACCTTTTTGGCACCAGGGACTGGTTTCATAGAAGACAAATTTATTTTTCCACAGACCAGTGGCCAGGGGGATGGTTTCAGGATGATTCAAGCACATCACATTTATTATGTACTTTATTCCTTTATTTTATTTACTTATTTGTTTATTTAGGGACAGAGTCTCTCTCTGTTGCCAGGCTGGAGTGCAGTGGTGTGATCTTGACTCACTGCAATGTCCATCTCCTGGGATCAAGTGATTCTTCTGCCTCAGCCTTCTGAGTAGCTGGGACTGCAGGCACCTGCCACCACACCAAGCTAATTTTTTTTGTATTTTTAGTAGAGATGGGGTTTCACTATGTTGGCCAGGATGTCTTGATCTCTTGACCTCATGATCCACCCGCCTCAGCCTCCCAAAGTGCTAGGATTACAGATGTGAGCCACCGCGCCCGGCCTGTACTTTATTTCTATTGTCATTACATTGTAACGTATAACGAAATAATTATACAACTCACAGTAATGTAGAGAATCAGCAGGAGCCCTGAACATGTTCTTCTGCAACTAGGCCATCCCATCTGGTGGTGATGGGAGACTGTGAAAGATCATCAAGCATTAGATTCTCAAAAGGAGCTTGCATCCACGAACTGGTACCAGTCCATGGCCTGGGGTTGGGGACCCCTGCTCTAGGACAAACCAAAATAAACAGCATACTTCCTCACTTGTAAAATGAAAATAATAAGTGTCTTATTTATAGGGCAGTTGTGAAGATTAAATGAATTAATATATGTGAAGTATTTAAAGCAGTTTTCAGCATATAGTAAGTGCTCAGTAAAGACTAGATTTATTGGCTGGGCACGGTGGCTCATGCCTGCAATTCCCAGCACTTTGGGAGGCCAAGGCAGATGGATCATGAGGCCAGGAGTTCGAGACCATCCTGGCCAACATGGTGAAACTCTGTCTCTACTAAAAATACAAAAATTAGCTGGGCATGGTGGTAGGTGCCTATAGTCCCAGCTACCCAGGAGGCTGAGGCAGGAGAATAGCTTGAACCTGGGAGGCAGAGGTTTCAGTGAGCCAAGATCATGCCACTCACTGCACTCCAGCCTGGGCAACAGAGAGAGATTCTGTCTCAAAAAACCCCTAACTTTGTTATAGCAAATAATAAGAAATAATATAGGAAATATTAATATTATATTTATTCTCTGCCACCATCTATGCTAAGTATCACCATGAGCCCAACCTACCAGTGACTATTTGGAAGACCTGTAGCATCTAGCAGTAATTCCAATGTGTCTTCTGTTTTCCAAATAATACAAAATATGAAACTTAGCAGTAGAGGAAACATTTCGAACAGGAAATCATGCCTATCTCCCCTGTAAACCTGTCCATTTGAAATTTGGATTACTGCCTCATGGATTCATTCAAGGCAATGGAAATAACTAAACTTTCTGCCTGCAACTACCTGGTCCAAGGAAATCAATCTTGTCTTTCCTCTCTACTCTTCCCACCTGGATCTTGTGGTTTTAAGCCTGCGTAGTCATAAAAGAAAGCTGCAAATATTTCAGCTTTATTGGAACTCAAGAGGATTCTTGTTTTGTTCTTTGTGATTCTTCCCTTTTATTTGATTTTCACCTACCTTTTAACCTTTTTTTTTTTTCTTTTTTTTTTTGAGCCTGGCCAACAGAAGTGTTTGTTGTTGTTGTTTTGTTTTGTTTTGTTTTTTGAGATGGAGTCTCCCTCTGTTACCCAGGCTGGAATGCAGTGTCATGATCTCGGCTCCCTGCAACCTCCGCCTCCCAGGTTCAAGTGATTCTTCTGCCTCAGCCTCCCAAGTAGCTGTGATTACAGGCATGTGCCACCACGCCCAGCTAATTTTTGTATTTTTAGTAGAGATGGGGTTTCACCATGTTGGCCAGGCTGGTCTCGAACTCCTGACCTCGTGATCCACCTGCCCCACCCTCCCAAAGTGCTGGGATTACAGGTGTGAGCCAGCACACCTGGCCTGTGTTTTGATGTTTGTTTAGATATTTGGTGATGCTTTTCTGATCATAAATATACCGTATAGGCACTCCAGTCTAGAGGTATAGAGCAAAACCCCTATCCCCCGCCCAAAAACCAGAAATATGCCATAAAAACTTATCATTTTTTTTCAGAGGTAGAGTCTTGCCCTGCTGCCCAGGCTGGGGTGCAGTGGTGCAATCATAGCTCACTGTAACCTTGAACTCCTGGGCTCAAGCATTCCTCCACCTCAAACCTCATAAGTAACAGTGATTATAGATGTGGGCCACTACTCCTGGACGAATTTTTAAAAAGTTTTTGTAGAGGTAGAGTCTCACTGTGTTTCCCAGGCTGGTTTCAAATTCCTGGCCTCAGGTGATCCTCCTGCCTCAGCCTCCCAAAGCGCTGGGATTATAGGCATGAGCCACCATGCTGACCCTTAACTCTTGTTTGTATCAATTAGATTATGGCAAAGTTAGTTTCGTGATACATCATTTCCCTTAAAGTTACAGTTTCAAAGAACCTATTGATGATGCTAAGTGAGGGCTTACTGTACATGTCTTAGAGATAAATCATTGTGAATGCCCAGTCACCTCTCGGGCTAAATAAATATTGACCCAGGAACACCAGAATCCGCATCAGTTCCAGAATCTGACCTCATCCTTCCCTCTTCTTTTTGGACAAAGCTGTTTCTTTGTTTATGAGAAGTATAGGAATGATTCATTTTTATGCAAATATAAAGCAAGTGCCCAACCACAACATTCACCTAAATGCAGATGTTTTGGAGGCTCAAAACTCAAGGGTCTCCATCCAGGATCCATACGTACAGAAAAGACACTGTCTAGGATGGGGGCTAAATCTTTGGAGCTGAGTGTTAAGTTTTTGTTTTGCTTTGTTTTTGATAGATTCGTTTGCAGTAAATGAGTGGAGCAGAGTGGCTGAGGGAACTGACCGTATGCTAGTCTTTTTAAGATTCCAAACTAGTGATACATTGGAGTTCAGGTGACAAGTGTGGCAAGGAGTGAGCCCTGTTGAGAAACAGGGACTCGGGAAGCTTGGAATAGTACCTTTGGTGAGGATGTTAGTGTTCTCAAGCTATTCCATCGACCATGGCAATGATGAGGCTCCCAATGGAAGTTTTTGAGAATCAGATAGCTGGGGTTTGCTGTATGAAGAATTGTGACAAGCCATTTCATTTTCTCCTGCAGACCTTTGAAGCCACTGACAATTTACATGTTTACTCCTAAGAAAATCTTTAGTGTGTACAGCTCCACAAACAGATATTTTAAATGACTAACTACTTTGTCTTAGAAGAATACAAATGATGCCCCAGCCTTTTAAAATTTCAATTAGGTTAAGTTTAATCCAGGCTAAATTCACTGACTGATCACCTCAAAAACTGAAACGTAATTGCCTCAAATATTGAAACAATAATGTGGTATCATTCCTTAATATCTTAGTATTTTCTATAGTAGAGATTCCCTTACTGTAGGATTTTGAATACATTTCATGGATCTATTTTTTTTTCTTATTGAGACAGAATTTCACTCTTACTGCCCAGGCTGCAGTGCAATGGCGTGATCTTGGCACACTGCAACATCTGCCTCCCAGGTGCAAGCAATTCTCCTGTCTCAGCTTCCTGAATAGCTGGGATTACAGGTGCCCACCATTATGCCTGGCTAATTTTTGGCATTTTTAGTAGAGATGGAGTTTTACCATGTTGGCCAAGCTGGTCTTGAACCCCTGATCTCAGGTTATCCCAAAGTGTTGGGATTACAGGTGTGAGCCACCATGCCCGGCCGGATCTATTTTTTTATTTCCCTTTAAGATGGAACTTTCAAAACACTGTTTGAAGCATCCTTTATCCCTTGATTTACTTAAATGTATTTATTATAACAATTCATTATGATTTTAAACTTGTGATCAAATTTTTAAAAATCCCTAACATTTTTATGCGCTTCAAGTATCGATTAGTTCGTTATGCCAGTGTTTCAGCAATAGTGTTTTGAAATTTAATAACAATATTTTGATAGCCTTTTATCCAAGTAAAATAGTCTCCCATCTTACATTTAGGAAGAGCTGTCATATATTTTGCTTTTATGTGGACAACTGACATATTAGACTTTTGTCTCTCTGCAGTTCTAGGCTTTTCCTCAGAAGAAGAATTTGAAGATTACATTAAGCAAAAAAAGAACTCTGAAAATGTTCTGGCTGCTATTGTGTTTGACCATGATTTCAAAAATAGCAATGATCCCCTGCCACTGAAGGTGAGAAAGTTTAATGCAGAAATCTCATATTTTGAATTCCAGTTGCCAGAAATTTAATGAAGTAGAGGTATCATTCATTATTCCATGTTGTAAGTGGAGAGACCATAGCTTTCCCAAGATCATAGTGTTTGTGCGTACTAGAGCAGGGATTGGGATCCAGATCTAACTAGCTTCAGTGTGTGTGCATTAATTTAGCCAGTGCTTCATGCAGATAAGGAAAGAATTGTATTCATCATCTACCAGGCCTTATTAATAAACTGGAATCATAGGAAACACAATTGTGGACATGGCCTATGCCATTGTGTCTGACATGGCAACTGTCTGTAGCCCTAGAGATGATGGCAAAGAAACTGCACATTTCCTGGGACAAAATGCCTGATGCAGTAAATAAAACATATGCATCTTCATTAGCAGGGAACACAACATGAAATGTTCCTTTTTCTTCTGAGTGAATCTCATAATTTCTCTTCTAATTATAGATAAAGAAAATAACTCTAAGACTTAACAAGGCTGAATCAAAATTAGAACATCTGCAAGAATTAGAACCAAGGAAGATTCTGATAACAACCCACCAAGGGGAAGAAGCAAGGACAGGGCTTTGAACTTGGGGTCTCTGGTGCTGAGTAAAATAACCAAAGTACAAAATATAGATGAGCACAGAGCTAAAATTCTGCATTTAGGATACAGATGGTTGTCAATGGAACAAAAAAGTAAGGAAGACTGCCAGGTTTTAACTAGGGTAATAGGCATCCTTTCATCCCACCCCATAACTTCCTCCGTATAGGTCAATGTCCCTCAATTTGGTGACTCAGGGTAAACCGATGATAAATCGGTTTTTAAAAAATCATGATGCTGATCTAGGCTCATATGTGTACATTGGGTTTGGCAGTTTAAATTTACATTGGTGCAATTGGAAACTTCACCTCTTCTACATGGCATGGTCTCCCTTGCCCTGCCCTATACTTGGTTTGCACGTACTGACGTACAATTTTTGTCAGTGTTGCCTCTTCTGACCACATATGCCCCTTCCCTCCTACATCCTCCCATGAATACCTTAACCATGCCTCTATCACTGAGTTTATGCTGCAATGTAAATCTGTATGTTTCCTTAACTAGAATTTGAGCTCCTGGAGGAACAGGTCTACCTCCTTGAACATGGAATAAGTCCCTAAAACTTTTGTCTTGATAACTGAGTATATGAATATTCATCCAGACCTATGACCTCTGCCTGTCCGTCCTATTCTTCCTGATTTCTCTGGTCTGATCCTTCTGACTTTTGACGACTCTTGGTCCATTTGCTGTCCTTTGTATTTTTGTTATTTATTTTTATTATTTTTTTTTGAGACAGAGTCTCACTTTGTTGCCCAGGCTGGAGTGCAGTGGTGTGATCGACTCACTGCAGCCTCCACCTCCCAGGTTCAATAGATTCTCCTGCCTCACCTCTGGAGTAGATGAGATAACAGGCACCCAACACCACAACTGGCTAATTTTGTATTTTCAATACTAAAAATACCAAATTAGCCAGTTGCGGTGGTGGGGTTTCACCATGTTGGCCAGGCTGGTCTTGAACTCATGACCTTAAGTGATCCATCTTTCTCAGCTCCCCAAAACTGCTGGGATTACAGGCATGCGCTACTGCCCCTGGCCCATTTATTGTCTTGTAAAGGTAGTTAACCTCAGCATGATGTACCTTGACATTTACTCGGTTCTCCAAAACTAATATTTACCTTTTGGTTTAATAATTAGATTGTGCAGCACTCCACACTTAGATCTTATCACATTCCTCCTTCATTCTCATATAGGGGTCTTCTTTATGTTATCATCTGTTTTTAAAAGAGGAAGAGATTTTCCTCTTAGAACACTATAATTGACTGACATAAAGGGAAGATAAATTAATCATGCCTTTTGGTACATTTCATTTCAGTATGCAGCCAGCTGTCTGTTTAGGCAAAAAAAGTTCATAATTATGTACAAGTTGCCACTATATTTGCCTACCGCAAGCCTGCAGTATACATCTAACTATTGCTCTCACCTCAATAAAAAAACTTCACAAAATTAACAGAGGATGGATTTAAAGGAAGTGGGCTTAAGTTGAGATGCCATCAGAGCATGGGTGCCTTAGGACAAATTTGTTCTCACTTCTGGGTGTCCAGAATATACTTTAGCTTCCTCAGGCAGTCTACCTCAAAATCACATGTTCCCAGCTGTACTTTAACTTTCTTTTGTATCTGATTATTCTTTAATTATTTTTGGGTGGGGGAGTTCTTAGATATTGTTTGTTTCTTAATTGCTCCTTGTAGGTAAAATATTACCTGCGTTTTAGTAATGACAAGAAGAGCAATATGCTGGACAATATTTATGGAAAAAGCAGCTGGCTTACAAATTTTCTCTTTCCGTCTGTCCCTTCGGTGGGACCCAGAAACAAGGATGACAATGGGGGGAGTCCTGGTAAGCAGATCTTTATTCTAAATATCCCAGTCATGTAGGATGAGCCATCACATATTTATACTTCTGTTTCTTTGTTCTTGCAATGGAAGCTGCTTATTAATATTATTTTGAGACAGAGTCTCACTCTGTCACCAGGCTGGAGTGCAGTGGCGTGATCTTGGCTCACTTCAACCTCTGCCTCCTGCGTTCAAGTGATTCTCCCGCCTCATCCTCCCAAGTAGCTGGGACTACAGGCATGCACCACCAAGTCCAGCTAATTTTTGTATTTTTTAGTAGAGATGGGGTTTTACCACGTTGGCCAGGATGGTCTCAATCTCTTGACCTTGTGATCCACCCATCTCAGCCTACCAAAGTTCTGGGTTTACAGGTGTGAGCCACTGTGCCTGGCCAGGAAGCTGCTTATTTTTAACTATTTTGGTTATTTGTAAATGTGTCCAAAGCCCCATATGAAAAATCACTTGAACCAGGGAGTTGGAGGTTGCAGTGAGCCAAGATCGAGCCCTTGCACTCCAGCTTGGAGACAGAGAGAGACTGCATCTCTAAATAAATAAAAATCCTACATACTTCAACAACATATTTTTATTGCCTTTTATCCTTTCCTGGTCATTACCATTGTATGCCTTTACATTTTCATGTAGCTTAATTGTGAACTTTTGACTTACATGACTTAATGAACATTTGCAGATACTGATACACCCTGATTAATTGTAACTGTGTGTTATCCTGTTGGGTTAATGAGTAGTTTTTAATATAAATATAGTAATAAAAATTTTCCATTTATACAGCCTACTATTTACAAGGATTTAGTGTGGGTGCTTTGCTTTTACCTACAACTTTGCAATTATACCTTAAAGAAATTATTCAACCAAAGAAACTGATTGATTAGCATAATTCTTAAAAATGTGAAATAACCTCCATCTTAGGCATGGTAAATTCATAGTACAAGTATAAAATATAATTTGGGCCAGGCACAGCAGCTCACGCCTGTAATCCCAGCACTTTGAGAGGTCAAGGTGGTCAGATCATGAGGTCAAGAAATCGAGACCATCCTGGCCAACATGGTGAAACCCTGTCCTACTAAAAATACAAAAAAAAAAAAAAAAATTAGCTGGGCTTGGTGGCACACACCTGTAGTCCCAGCTACTCGGGGGGGGGGGGGGGGGGTGAGGCAGGAGAATTGCTTGAACCTGGGAGGCAGAGGTTGCAAATGAGCTGAAATCGTGCCACTGCACTCCAGCCTGGTGACAGAGTGAGACTCCATCTCAAAATATATATATATGTGTGTGTGTGTGTGTGTGTGTGTGTGTGTGTGTGTATAAAATTTGATAGAACATTGTGCAATCATTAAAATAATAATGAGTTCAGAATTGTATTATCAAATTAGAGCTATGTTAACTGAATATTCATCAACATAAAACCAGGACAGATACCCAAATATGAAAATAATTGCTCTGTTAGGGTGGCAGAATTGTGCTGTATGTTAGTTACTCTCTTTAAAAATAATTTCAAGCCAAGTGTGGTGACTCATGCCTTTAATCCCAGTAATTTGGGAGGTCAAGACAGGCAGGTCAGTTGAGGTCAGGAGTTCAAGACCAGCCTGGTCAACATGGTGAAACCCTGTCTCTACTAAAAATACAAAAATTAGCTGGGCAGCGTGGTGGACACCTGTAATTCCAGTTACTCAGGAGGCTGAGGCAGGAGAATTGCTTGAACCCAGGAGGCTGAGGTTTCAGTGAGCCGAGATCATGCCACTGCACTCCAGCCTGGGCAACAGAGCGAGACTCTGTCTCAAAAAAACAAATTAATATTTTCAAATATTATTTTTCTAGTTATAAAATTTGAAATGAAATCTTATGCCTTTTCTAAATTATGTTACTGCATGATAACCTTAGTCTACTAGTGAAGAAACATTAAACCCAAATTGTGGAACATTCTCCAAAATGCCTGACCAATAGTCTTAAAAACTCTCATGGTCATGAAAAAGAAAGAATGAGAAACTTTAACAGCTCAGAAGAGACTATGAAGACATGACAACTAAATGCAGTGCAGTATTATGAATGGGATCCTAGAACCGAAAAAAAAAAAAAAGACATCCAGGAAAAACAGGTGAAATCCAAATAAAGTTTGTATAAAACATAAATACTATTGCACCAATTTTTTTTTTTTTAGTTTTGACAAATGTACAATGATAAAGTAAGATGTAATATTAGGGAGGCTTCATGCAGGATATATAATAGTATTTCTCAATCTTTATTACCTTTCTAAGGAAATCTTTAGACATTTTCTCCATATCTACTCCCCCATGAAATATTAATACCACAGATACACTATAGATCTGTTCATATACTGTGGCCCCATTGAGAATGCATAGTATATAGGAATTCTCTGTATTGCCTTTGCAACTATTCTGCAAAGACCATTATTTTCTAAGATAAAAAGCATATATATATATAAAATTTTATATTTGTATATCTTATATATAAATAAATATTCATTTTGAGACAGAGTTTCCATCTGTCACCCAGCCTTGAGTGCAATGGAGTGATCTCGGCTCACTGCAACATTAACCACCCAGACTCAAGTGATTCTCCTGCTTCAGCCTCCCCAGTAGCTGGAATTACAGGCATGTGCCACTATGCCCAGCTAATTTTTGCATTTTTGGAAGAGGCAGAGTTTTACTGTTGGCCAGGCTGGTCTCGAACCCCTGGTCTCAAGTGATCCACCCACCTCTGCCTCCCAAAATGTTGGGGTTACAGTGTGAGCCACCATGCCTGGCCAAAGAGTATATTTTAAGAAGTCTTCCTACCCAAGGTATGAAAAAAATGAATTTCTTCAATCTGATAAAGCACATTGCAAAAAAATTGTAACTTACTGATAAAATTGAACATTTTCCCCCTGATATCAGGAATGTTTGCTCTCCTCAATTCTATTCAGCATATTACAGGAAGTTTTCAATTGTACCAGGAAAAGGGGAAAAAAGACATTAATTTTAGAAAAGAAGGAAAGAAATTACGTTTCTTTGCAGGCGACAGAATCATGTATACAGATAAAAGAAATTACCAAAACAAAACAAAACATAAAAACAAAACCTACTGCAACCAATGCGCCAATGTAATAAAATCCCAAGATATTTACAAGTACAATACATGAAAGTAAATTATAATAAGCCTACATCAAAAATAACAAAGCACTTCTAAAAGAAAAATTTAAAGGAAATAAATTATAAAAATATTTTAACTTCATTGATTGGATGACTCAAAATTGTTACAATGTAAATTCTTTCTAAATTGAGCTGCAGAGTCAATACACACACAGTCAAAATCTCAGCAGGGGCTAGGCTGCAGTGGCTCATGCCTGTAATCCCAGCACTTTGGGGGACTGAAGCGGGCTGATCACCTGAGCTCAGGAATTCAAGACCAGTCTGGGCAACACAGCGAAACACCATTTCTACAAAAAAAAAAAAAAAAGCACAGTGGTGTGAGCCTATAATCCAGTAACTAGGGAGGATGACACAGGAGAATTGCTTGAGCCCGGGAGGTGGAGGTTGCAGTGATCCTAGATCATGCCACCGCCCTCCAGCCTAGGTGACAGAGCAAGACCTTGTCTCCAAAAACAAACACAAAAAACCTTAGCCTGATTTTTTGAAGAAATTGACAAGTTTATTTAAAAATTTACATGGAAATGGAAAGGATCTGGATTAGGAAAAATAATCGTGGGAAAGAACACTGTCAGAGGACGTATCTTGCCTGATTTCAAGATTTTCTGTAAAGCTACAGTACGTAAGACATTGCCATTATAGGTGTGAGGAAAAACAGACAGACGAACAGAAAGAAGAGAATGTGTGGAAATACACACATACCGTCGCTGGATTTTCTATGAAGCTGCCAGTATGATTCACTGGGGAAAGAAAATCTTCTCAACAACTTTTGCTGGAATAATTTGGTATTCCTATGGAAAGAATGAATCTTGATCACTTCCTTATACCCTATACCAAATTAACTAATTCAAGAAGATCCTAAAGCTAAAATGATAAAGCCTCTCTGGCAACATGAATGAGAGTATCTTTTTTTTTTTTTTTTTTTTTTTTCTTTTTGAGACGGAGTTTTTGCTCTCGTTGTCTAGGCTGGAATGCAATGATGTGATCTCGGCTCACCACAGCCTCCGCCTCCCAGGTTCAAGTGATTCTCCTGTCTCAGCCTCCCAAGTAGCTGGGATCACAGGCATGCACCACCACACCCGGCTAATTTTGTATTTTTAGTAGAGACGGGGTTTCACCATGTTGGTCAGGCCAGTCCTGGACCCTGGACCTCATATCATCTGCCCGCCTTGGCCTCCCTAAGTGCTGGGATTACAGGCATGAGCCACCACACCTGGCTGAGAATATTTTTATGATTTGAGGGTAGGCAATGATTTGTTAGGACACAAAAAGCACTTGTGAAAAAAATTTAAAGAAGAAGAAATGGATAAATAGGACTTTATCAGAGTTAAATACTTCTCATATGAAAGACACTATTAAAGAAATAAAAAGGCAAGATTGCTAGGGGAGAAAATATGCATAATATGTGTTTCTGACACAGGAATAACACTCATAAAGGAGCTATGTAAATTAATAAAAAAATTTTAGATGTTACAGCAATGCTAAATTTCTATGCAAGTTTTAAATGCTTGTCCTTAATTTCTGTACTCAATTCATGTACCAGTAAGAAACTATTTGCATTCTGTCAAAGGACCACACTTGGATTATCACTATCAGACATCAGCTCATCTATGTCATTCAGTTGTGGCACTTCAGCATCACTCACTAATGTCACTTAATTGTATGAGCTTCATGTCTCTCTTCAACTGTCTGGGATACACAAGCAAAGTCTTTATCCAATAACTAATTCACTTCTCATTTAATTGAAATTGCAAAAAGCAGCTCTCCAATTTCTTGCAATATTTCACTTTTGATAAGCTGGTAATTAGGATCATTTTAGGAAGTATTATGTATTTGTGTGGCAAAATCATGGTAGCTGCTCTGAAATGTGGACTATCAGAAGAACCTTATTACATACGTTAATTCCCTTCCTCTTTGTTCAGCTCAGCTGTTTTTTTGGTCTGTTGTACTTATCAGTCTTTGTTTTCTCATTTAGGGTACATCAGTGAAGGGTTCCTGTTTGTGCAACACGCCCTGGATAAAGCCATCATGCGATATCATAGCGGCCAAGCGGCAGAAACGCTGTTTAGCAATGTCAGCGTTTTTGTTCAGAGATTTCCCTATCCATCATACTATCATGATTTCTTCTTTATGTTTTCTGGCATTTTCATTCCTTTAGTACTTGTCTGTATCTTCTTTCTGAATCATCTTACCCTCATTCAATCCCTTGTGTGGGAAAAGGAAAATCGATTGAAGGTAACTCCTCTTTTCTTGCGGTAGATGAAGCTTCTGTAGAAAAGTCTGAATGTAGGGGGCAAATTTATGTGGAAGGTTGAATGATTTCTACCTACTCAACACTGATGGATGGTTGTGTTTCAGGAGCAGGCAAGTACTGAGCACTTAGGCTTCTTGGCAATATCATATAACTCTGTTTTTATTAGAATTCTAGGTATGCTTTTTCATTTTAGTTCTAGATGTCGACTTTACAAGAATATTACAGTTAGAATTTAAATGCCAAATCCCCTAAAGTCTCTCTGGAATAAACTAATAATCAGTTGGACTCTTGGAATCATATTTAATAAAATTCAGATACAATTCGATTCCAATATTCTATGATGCTGTGGTTTTTTTTTTAAAGACCAAATCTCTGCCACCCAGGCTGGAGTGCAGTGACGTCATCTCAGCTCACTTCAGCTTCTGCCTTCTGGGTTCAAGCAATTCTCATGCCTCAGCCTCTTGAGTAGCTGGGATTACAGGTGTGAGCCACCATGCCCAGCTAACTTTTCTTTTGTGTTTTTGGTAGAGATGGGTTTTTACCATGTTGGTCAGACTGGTCTCAAACTCCGGATCTCAGGGGATCTGCCTGCCTCATCCTCGAATAGGGGTGGGATTACAAGTGTGAGTTACCATGCCTGGCCAATGCTGTGATTTTTTAAAATCAAATTTTTGATCCCTGGATTGTTCAAAATATACAACCTCTTATTCTCCCCTGCAGTATTATGTCTTAGCCCAGAATATGTTGTCTTCAAAAATCCAGTCATCATCAGCCATTTAACCAATTATTGATTCAATGATTATTTATTTATTCATTATTGATTTAGTAAGTATCTACTTTATTTCAGGGACCCTGATAAATCATAGGTTTGAATCCTTTGCTGTATAGCTAATTATCTCTGTAACATGGCATATATAACTTTTCTAGCTGATTTTCTCAGATGTAAATTGAGACTAATAATACCTAACGTGCAGGACTGTCATGATATTAAGTGAAATATCACCTGGAAAGTTGTCATCCTTCAATCATCCTGTACTGTGAGGCAGAAATATGGAAATTCACATACAATATTTTGTACAGTGCCTGACACATAGCAGGGGCCCAATAACTGGGCTTCAGCTGTGATTATGAGTGGTCTCTTCATTTCACTTATCTCCTTTGTGTTGTCAAAGGTCATGTCATTTTCTTTCCTTCATGAGTGGCAACACCACTTTAAACATCAGGTTCACATTACTTTTCAACATCCAGCTCTTGTCACCTCCATAGTCACTCGCTCACCCCCAATGTACCTCACACATTGTTGCCAGGGAAACTATCCCGTAATACAGATGGCTATAAATAATTTTAGAGATTGATTTATTCTACTGTCTGCTGAATAAAATCCATTTAAGCAGAGAGATTTCCTAAGATTTAGCGCCCAACTGCTTCCCATTTTGTTGTTTACCCCAGTAAATCCCTTTCCTTCCAGCGAAAATAAATGACTGGTTTTCAAGCTTGTTTCTGTTTATTTCTTCTGACTGTAATGCTTTTCTCCCTCTTCTCTGATTGGTGAACACAGTTCACTTTCTGCCTCACCCTTCACAGTTGCCATCTCCTTGTTGAGATTTCTCTTTAATTCTCAACTATTATTTAATCCTTTTTCTTCTGTGTCACCCACAGGATTTTATACAGACTTCGTCCATATGACTTATGCTCATACATACACAGAAAAGTACACAAATCATAAGCGTGTGGTTAAATCAATTTAGCATAAAGAAAGTATGCCCATTTTGTCATGGCTGTGTTAATAACTAAAACAGGGCTGGGCGTGGTGGCTCACACCTATAATCCCAACACTTTGGGAAGCTGAGGTGGGTAGATCATGAGGTCAGGAGTTTGAGACAAGCCTGGCCAACATGGTGAAACCCCCATCTCTACTAAAAATACAAAATTAGCCAGGTGTGGTGGTGCATGCCTGTAATACCAGATACTCAGGAGGCTGAGGCAAGAGAATTGCTTGAACCCAGGAGGCAGAGGTTGCAGCGAGCCAATTGTACCATTGCACTCCAGCCTGGGCAACAAAGCAAGACTCTGTCTCAGGGAAAAAAAAAAAAAAAAAAAAAAAAAAACACTGCCAGGACCCCGGTTGTCCCCTTGTACACCCTCCAAATAACTTTTCCAAAAATATACACTAACATGAGTTAATTTGGTCTGTTTTTAAACTTAAATGGAATCATGCATTATATTATTTTGCATCTGAATGAGTCAATTAAATATATGACGGTAGTTCCATTCATGTTGAGTTCTGTGATTCTGTGGTATGACTGTATCACAGTTTATCCATTTTCCTTTGATATTTTCATTTGGCTTGTTTGATGATTCATTATTATACAGAATGCTGCCGTGAACTTTTTATAGGTGTGTTTTTTGTTGAATATTACATTTTATCTGTTTGTCATTAGTGGATAATACCAAAGTTTGCCAATAAAGTTCTATCAATTTCCATATCCATTAGCAATGCTTAAAAATTGTTCCACATCTTCACCAACATTTGGTGTCATCAATATTTTCTTTTTTTTTTTTCCCATTTATTTATTTTATTGCATTTTAGGTTTTGGGGTACATATCAATATTTTCTAATTTTATCAGGTCTTGTGAGTGTGTCATGATATGTCATTGTGCTGGATTGTTTAGTCGCCAACACATTTATCCTGGGAACTACATTTCCTGGAAAATTCTTCCCCACGTGGTTCCTGTTTGAAGTTGGTCAGAAGCAAAGTGGCATGAAATTTGCGAGGGTGAAGTGAAGCAGTAGGCATTACATTGTAAAGGTTGTGTTGGTAAGAGTTGGAGAGAGACAGTTTTAGGATTGCAAGTGCATTCCCATTTGTCCTCACTCTTCGGGGCACTTGTGTTGAGCTCTCCTTTGCACGGTGGTTTTAATTGTCATCTCCCTAATTATTAATAAGACTAAGCATATTATGACGTTTATTGGCCATTTTAATATTCTCTTCTGTGAAACATCTGCTCAGATCCCTTGATTATTTTTCCCATTCATTATGTTTCTTTTCCTTTTTTTAAGAAATAGGGTCTTGGCTGGGCACGGTGGCTCACAACTGTAATCCTAGAACTTTGGGAGGTGGAGGCGGGCAGATCACCTGGTGTTAGGAGTTTAAGACCAGCCTGGTCAACATGGTGAAACCCCATCTCTACTAAAAATACAAAAATTAGCTAGGCATGATGGTGGATGCCTGTAATCCTAGCTACTAGGAAGCTGAGGCAGGAGAATCACTTGAACCCGGGAGGCAGAAGTTACAGTGAGCTGAGATTGAGCCAGCATGGGTGACAGAGCGAGACTCTGTCTTAAAAAAAAGAAGAAGAAGAAGAAGAATTGGGGTCTTACCTAGGCTGACTGAGACTTTTGGGCTCAAGCAATACTCCCAAGTAGTTGGAACTACAAGTGTGTGCCGTTGTGCCCACCTCCATTTTTTTGTTTGGTTGGTTTCATTTGGTATACTTTTCTTCATTTGGAGCTGTAAGAACTTCTAGTGTATTTGGAATACAATTATTTTGGTAGTTGATATGTATTGCGGATATTTTTTCCTAATGCCTTTTACTCTCACAATAGGACCCTTTAATAATTAGGAGTTCTTAATCTTAAAGCTGTTTACTCATCTTTTTCACTATTTCAGCACTTTTCAGTCTCCTCAAATACTGATTTCTCCTGTCTAATTGAAACCTTGTACGCTTTAACCAACACTTCCATTCCTTCCACCACCCAGCCTCTGTTACCCACCATTCTGCTCTCTGCTTCTGTAAGTTTGATTGTTTTTGGTTTCACTTATAAATGAGATTATGCAGTATTTGTGTTCCTGTGCCTGGTTTATTTCTCTTAGCATAGTGTCCTCCAGGGTCATCCATGCTGTCCCAAGTGACAAAATTTCCCTCTTTTTAAAGGATAAATAATATGTTGTTTTGTCTATATACCACATTTTATTTATGCTGTCATTTATTTTTTAAAATTTTTGTTTTGAGTTTTGGGGTATATGTGCAGGTTGTGCAGGATTGTTACATAGGTAAATGTGTGCCATGGTGGTTTGTTGCGCCTTTCAACCCATCACTTAGGTATTCAGCCCAGCTAGTATTAACTATTTTTCCTAAGGCTCTTCCTCCCCATGCTGCACCCCCAACAGGTCCCAGCCTTTGGTATTCCATGTATCCATGTATCCTCATTGTTCAGCCCCCACTTATAAGTGAGAACATGCAGTGTTTGATTTTTTTGTTCCTGAATTAGTTTAATGAGGCTAATGGCTTCCAGCTGCATCTATGTCCCCGCAAAGGACATGATCTTGTTCCTTTTTATAGTTGCATAGTATTCTGTGGTGTATATGTACCATATTTTCTTTATCCAGTCTATCATTTCTATCATTGATTGACACTTGGGTTGATTCCATGTCTTTGCTATTATGAAAAGTGATGCAATGAACATCCATGTGCATGAATCTTTACAATAGAATGATTTATATTCCTTTTGGTATATACCCAGTAATAGGATTGCTGGATCAAATGCTATTTTTGGTTCTAGATTTTTGAGGAATTCTTTCACAATGATTGAACTAACTTACATTCCCACGAACGATGTAAAAGTGTTCCTATTTTTTCTGCAACCTCACTAGCATCTGTTGTTTCTTGGCTTTTTAAAAATGACCATTCTGCCTGGCGTGAGATGGTATCTGATTGTGGTTTTGATTTGCCTTTCTCTAATGGTCAGTGATGTTGAGCATTTTTTCATGTTTGTTGGCTGCATGAATGTCTTCTTTTGAAAAGTGTCTGTTCATGTTCTTTGCCCACTTTTTTAATGGGATCATTTTTTTTTCTTGTAAATTTGTTTGAGTTCCTTGTAGATTCTGGATGTTAGACCTTTGTCAGATAGATAGATTGCAAAAATTTTTTCTCACTCTGTACATAGTCTGTTCACTTTGATGATTGTTTCTTTTGCTGTACAGAAGCTCTTTTGTTTAATTAGATCCCATTTGCCAATTTTTGCTCTGATTGAAATTGCTTTTTTATGCATTCATTTATTGGTGGACATTTAGGTTGAGTCATTTCTGGACTATTGTGAATAATGCCTCAGTTAATGTGAGACAGCAGGTATCTCCTAAACATATTAATTTCATTTCATTTGGATATATAACCAGATAATACTGGATCATATGGTCATTCTATTTTTAGTTTACTGGGGAATCTGCATAAAGTGTTTCATAATAGCTGTACTAACTTACATTCCCACCAACAGTGTAGAAGTATTCCCTTTTTTCCACATCCTCACCAATATGTGTTACCTTTTGTCTTTTTGCCGTTGTAACAAATA